TTTTATGTATTTGTTCTGGATTTTATTGTTTATGTGGGGGAGAAATCCATTTTTATAGACATTTCCTACTGTAAATATATAAATAATTTTTAAAAATTTCTAAACGCTTATAGAAGTATTATGAATTTATAATTTGATAGAAATATAATTATATATACAGTTAAACTTCGATTTAGTGAACCTCTAAAACTAGTTTGCCTCTAAAATTGGCGCTAAATTGCATATAACAAGTCAAACAATTATACATATTTTATTCTCGTTGTCTGAAGTACTTCAATTTAGCACTTTGCACTCGATTTAGCGCCTATTCAGCACAAGAGTAGTTCGTTACTTACAAGCTAAGCAAGCTACAATTTAGGGCCTTACTTTTTTTTAAATTTATAATTATTTACTAGGAAAGGGGCCTCTGAGAAGATATATCTTAGGGCATTTAAAAAGCATGTTCTAACTAGATAATTAAGTAACAGAATTAATTAATTTACTTGTTTAGGTACAAACAATTGACAGTGCATTATTCAGTGGAAGGATTATTTTTAAAGAATTTTTCTCAATCATCAAACAACATCAAGACACAAAAATTCTTTTAAAAAAATATATTTAAATTTTATTTTATACTTTAACAATTATTTTTCTCAAGAGAAATTTTATTATTAGCTTCAACTACTTTAATTTAAAGTAGTAGAAGATGAAAAAAACTTTACTTAAAAGACTAATTAGTGAATTTTAATTAAACAAAATATATATTAAATATTTTAAAGGGATGTAATGAAAGAATTCAAGCAATTTGAATATGTTTAATTATCTTTTATACATTAGAAAAATAAAATAAAATAATTAAAATTAAATCAATTTTTATGAGTATTATTTTGATTAAAATTTGATTTTTAATATTTTAATAATCGTTGAGTTATAGAATTAATTTAATCCTGTTGTTTAAAATACATAAATTTTAATGAAAAAGTAAGGTTCAGTGATGAAGGTTCTTCAAGTAATCTGTCAGGAATCCAGTCAGGATGCTTCATTAACATTTTATTAATTTTCATATCATTTTTTCTTTTTTTCCCCCTTTTTAATTTTCCTTTCTTTATAAACTCTAATGAATTTATTCTTTAGTTAAAACTTTAAATGAGCTTCACATTTAAAAAAAGAAAATTTTATGTACTTAACTTTACAAACATTGAACATCAGATAAAGTGTTTACATTAATAAAACTTTATTAAAACTGATTTTAAAAATTGCCTACAAGACTTGAGAAATTTATAAGAGTTTAATTTTTAAATTTAAATTTTAAAAAGTGTGAAGAATCTTTTTAAAAAAACAAAAATCCAGGAAATGGTTGCGTAACTTTTCCGCCAAAACAAAAGTTAAAACTGCGTGTGGTGCTATCTGTTTTGAGATTTTATTATTAAAAACTTTTTATATTATTAATTATTATAAAATGGAAAAAAGCTAATTTTGAGGGTAGGATGGGTTTTATAAAAACAATTGTAAATGCAATAACGAGCAAAGTCGTCATTAAATCTGATCCTATTGGCGAAGGTGTGGGGAGATTGGCTCCTTTATCTCCCCACACCTTCGACCTTTAATCACCAAAATTTAACAGAATCAATCCCCCTAATACAAAAATCTTCTTGCAAAATTTCAGAAATTTTCGATAAAAAGCATAGGAGTTATTAAGCTTCAAACAGGGTAAACAAAATCGTGCCACACACCACACACTAAACATGCAGAAATTACCCCCGAATTTTTTTTGCATTTCTGGACGTTTTAAGGTGTCTCGAGTCCAAAACTATAAAAATATGGGGATTATTTTTTGATCGATCGCCATATTTTCCTTCTGTTATATAACAGCCGGTAAAGTAAAAATGTGAAGAAATCTTTTAATAAACTGTTGAAAATTAATCTGATAAATACAGTCAAAACCTCTATTTAGCGCTCTTCTAAATAGCGTCACCCCATAAAGCGCTAACTCGTTACCAGAGCTCCTTAAAACAGAAATGGATCTTGTTACTAAATACAATTCTCATTATCTGAGATTCAGTTTAACGCCACACTCGATTTAATGCGAATTTCAGAGGTGAACAAATAATGGCGTTAAACCGAAGTTTGTTAATTTATTCAAATTTAAATTATATTATAGGAATTTAATTACTTATAATTATTATTGGATATTAAATACTTTAGTTGCAAAAGTAAAAATGAAAATAAATTGTTAAAATGTTTAGAAAAATTCCCTTCAAAATTAAAAGAATATAAATTAGCAAAAGTATCGAGAATAAATTACAGATCTTAAGAATTAAAAATCTCAAAAAATAATTTTTAAAAAAATTTAGAAAAGTTTTAAATCTCTCCAAAGAAATTTGAAAATAATATATTTTTTTCTAGAATATTTATAAAAATATTTAATAAATTGTAGAATTTTGGGGAAATTAAAGCCTTCTATAAGTTAAAATAATATTCGAAACTTTTTGAAAAATGCACAAAAGAAAAAGTTTTTAAAACTTCACAGAACAATCTAGGACTTTCCATTAAATCTGGAAGAACAAAAATTCCCATTTATCCAGAAAAACCAGAACTTAAAGGAATAAAAATTCCCAAAATATCTAAAGGTAAACCAGAAAAATTCTTGAGATATCTGGAAGAAATTTACACAATTTTAATAAATATATATAAATTCTTAAACCTTCAAAAAATTTCTAAAAACTATATTAAAAATATATATATATATATAAGTAAAGAAAATGTCCTGAAGAATCTAGAAAACATAAAAATTCGCTAAAATAAACCAGCAACGAGTTGCTCAACTTTCCCGGCAGCATTTGGTAGCGCCATCTTTTATCATATTTTATTAAAAATACTTTTAATATTTTTAACTATTATAAAATGGCAAAAGGCTTAATTTTGAGGATAAGAAACAAGCAAAATCGTCATTAAGATCGATCCATCTCGAGATATGACATATGACCTCTTTATCTCGCCATCCCCTCGACCCTTAACTATCAAAATTTAATAGCATCAATCTCCTTAATACACAAATTTCTCTGCAAAATTTCAAAAAATTTCGACAATGCGCTCAGGAATTTTAAGCTTCAACGTGGATGAACAAAATCGTGCCCCCAACACACACGCACACTTACAACCATACATACAGAAAAACTACCAAATTTTTTTTTTTTTTTTTTTGCATTTTTCCAAGTTTCAAGATTCCCTGCGTCAAAGAAAAAAAATCTTCGGAGGGAATCATTATTTTGTCCGATCGCCATATTTTTCCTCTGTTACATATAACAAGCGGGAAAGTAAAAATACAAAATTTTCCTAAAAATTAGAAAGAAAAAATTTATAAAATTTCTTAGGAAAAGTCTAAGAAAATTCGAAAATTTTTGAAAGAATTAAATTAACATTCGCAAAATATATATAATCGAATCTCCAAAAACGGCTACCTCTAAACGACGGACATTTTTTCCGGGAACTTTTCTTATTATGTACAAAATAACTTTCGAACAAAGGCCACCTCTAACAGGGTCCACCTCTAAACAACGATCGTCTCTGTACAAGATCCACCTCCAAATAACTGCCGTCCTGAACAGTGTCCACCTCCAAACAACGGTCACTTCTAACAGAGTCTATCTCCGAATAAAGGCCAAGTCGGTGGACGTTATTTAGAGGTTTGACTGTATATTATATATATATATTTTCTTTCTTTGAAAATCCTGGGGAAGGGTTAACCCAAAAATGTTTGTTGGATTGCAATTTGAAAAAATTGTAGACCTATAAATCCCCACTGCTGTCCACCTGCCTGTCTTTCCTTAATCTAAAAAATGGAGTTAGATAGACGAAAGACGAGACCAGATATGGAAACCTCGGGCAGGAGGTCCCTATAACTATATATCTGATGCAAACTGGAAGTCACATTATTTCAATTCAAAAAATTTTCCCTGAAAGGTTTTAGCTAGATGACTGGCTTGATCAATTCTATTGTTAAAGGAAAAGTATGATGTACAGGGACAAGCCACTATTAATTTGTGGTGGAGAAATTATATTTTAAATTAAATAAATTAAAAATATGATAAAAAATTGCAGTCTGGCATTGTGACGATGTCACGNCTCTATAAAATAAAAGCAGCTCAGTCTTGAAACAAACTCAAATTTATTTATAGACTGATGAAGATAATGAAATATTTAAAAATTTTTATCCTTCAATTTTGGAGCATATCCCATAAATATTATTGGAGGTCAAAGGGTTCTGGTCTCTTAGAGTTACCATCCATGATTAGGATATTTTAACAACACACACATGGAAAATGTTGTTTTCTTATCTAGTTAACCAAATTATAAATAATATTTCCTCTAAACAGACTAATATAATTAATAAGTTATAACTACTACAGAAATTTAAGCTGAGAGCATAGTATTACAGTAGTCTTAATTTCATAATTATGTCTACATTTTTACTTTTAATTGATGTGTTCTCATTATTACAAGTTCAAAGTTATAAAACTAACTGGAATATCACACACACAACATAAATAAATAATCTTTACTTCATTCGAGCACTGAATATTACATATAATAAATGTTTTCAGGTTGATTTCATAACAAATCCATAAATTATGAATTAACTCAAAAATGTTTATATTTAATACTCATTTATACTTACTCACACCTGAAATGCTGCTTCAAATATTTTTATATATCTTATTAATAGTTGATCTACTTGGTTTGTAATTTAATTTAATTTTAAATTATGCAGTTCATATAAATATTATATATATATATTTTCTTTCTTTGAAAATCCTGGGGAAGGGTTAACCCAAAAATGTTTGTTGGATTGCAATTTGAAAAAATTGTAGACCTATAAATCCCCACTGCTGTCCACCTGCCTGTCTTTCCTTAATCTAAAAAATGGAGTTAGATAGACGAAAGACGAGACCAGATATGGAAACCTCGGGCAGGAGGTCCCTATAACTATATATCTGATGCAAACTGGAAGTCACATTATTTCAATTCAAAAAATTTTCCCTGAAAGGTTTTAGCTAGATGACTGGCTTGATCAATTCTATTGTTAAAGGAAAAGTATGATGTACAGGGACAAGCCACTATTAATTTGTGGTGGAGAAATTATATTTTAAATTAAATAAATTAAAAATATGATAAAAAATTGCAGTCTGGCATTGTGACGATGTCACGATAAATAATTACTTGTTTCATGTAATACAGTGGGTGATCAGTTAATGAACAATTTCGTGAAAGATTTTTATGTTCGGACAACAAACAACTAACAGAACAAACACAAGAAGAAGTGATGAAAAATAATGAATACTGATTGGTCTTACCTTGTCTTCAGGCAACAATTTGGAACTTTTCGGAGTGCAGGAGACGTCGACATCGACGCTCAACCCAGTATATACTGATCGGATAGTATTCCTCCGAACTTTGAAACTCTGCCTTATAATTCCAGCCTTTTATTTTTCTGAAGAAACAATTCTTCTATAGTATCCACAAGACTGTCAGATGGGCACTTGTTAAGTTTTGCATCAGTTATAAAACTAACTGGAATATCACACACACAACATAAATAAATAATCTTTACTTCATTCGAGCACTTTATTTTTGAAAGGTGAGAGTATAATAGCAAAGGTGATGGGCAGATGATGTCTGATGTTGCTGGGCAGTATGGCTTGAACAGATCTACAGTAGGCCACACTTCAATCTTATGTACTAAAGATATAGTATAATCGAGAAAACTCAAGCAGCTAAAGGAGTAACAAAAATCACATCTGAGAAATAAAGAACATTGAAGAGCTCATAATAGAACCTGAAATGGATCTGACAACAGAAGAATGCCAAGAACTCTTGAATGAATAACACCAAGAAACTCAGCGAGATGTTTTCTTCTGAAAAAAGGATTAATGCCAATATCTGCTATTAAACATCTTTTGAAGAAGTGGGAGGATGTCAGAACAACGGTCTTAGAATGGCATCCAAACCAGGTTGAGATTAATAGGCTTAGGGATCTCTACAATTACAATGCTAATTAATTAGTTCTGAAAAATCCTAAGAAGAGAGAAAAGTAATTGACATTAGATAGATTCTTTAACTCTCACAAATGGAAAAAAAATCATGACTAATAAAAATGCAAGACTGTGTATATATGTATTTTTATTATTAGATATAAATAAACGTAGTAAGTATATATATTTTTTTATTTTTAGGGGTTTCCAGAGTGAATTAATCAAATTCCCATAAAAACCTATGATAAACTGATAATCGATTTATGAACAATTTGGATAGTGAACAAAGTCTTGGAACAGATTATGTTCGTTAATCAATCACCCACTGTATTCAGTATTGGAGTGAAATAAGAGAGGTTATTTATTTGTGTTGATTACTAATACATGTAGTACATAATACAGTTTAATTTTTCAGGCTATATTAGACATAACATAATTCATTTATTATTATATAAAAATTTTAAGAAATATCTTCTAATTTAATCTTTCTTTTACAGGATTGGACCCGCCACAATGGATGGGCTCTAAGAACAAGTAAACAGGCAATTCTGCCGGTATATGAACTTTATTATAATATATAATGTATAGATCTAGAATTTATTTTAAATCTTGCCATAAATTTAGAATGATCTTTCTAGACTTTGAATTTCCTTTCTTTCAGGGTGATCCCAATTATCCTCTGCCTACAGATCGACCTAATCCTGCTGATTATTCCAATCGTGGTTTTAAGGAGAGAAAAGTATTTCTTGATTAAGATTTTTGAATTTGCATTCATTAATTAAATGCAAATAGTCAAAGTTTCTTAGAATCTGTGTACAAAGTATTCTAGAATAAATATTTAAGAAATTTAGGTGAATTGATAAAAGTATCATTAAAATGTTCATTAAAATAATTTGTAGATAATGGCTTATTTTTGGTACTAGAATGTTGTAGAAATATTACTAATACTGTGGAATTCCACCTAGTATTATTTTCACATAATGCTATGTGATTCAAGTAACATGAACAAATTCTTAATTTAACTACTTATGAACATCTGTTATTACTGGTGAAGCATTAGTACACATAGATGGGTGGGTGGTCTTGCATATTGTCAGCCTAGTTCACAAACTTTGTATCACCAAGTTACATATTTTAGATTATTGTACCAACATAATAAAAATGGCACAACACATATGTGGTCACAAAACTCATGTTAGCAATAAAATTTAAATAACTGTACATGCCAAATACTATTAGACACTTGTATGACTTGCCTTTTTCTATTGGCATTATAGAAACATTTATTTTGCAAGTACTTTCAACAGTATATAATTGTCTTCTTCAGGCAAAATTGTTCATTGAGAACAGAACATAAAAGTAATGAAAAAACATTACTAGCTATTCATATTCTATCTTACATGCATGGAATTTGTCTACAATGTACATAAAGAAGGGTCTCCCTCCTTTACGTATTTGCTAAGTTTTCAAGAAATTTGGCTATAACACCCCAGCCCATGTTGCATAGGATCCTTTTTTTCATAGAGTGCAATCTTGTTTCTATTGTTGCAATCTGGAGTATATGCTATATCCTTACAAAATCTGCTAACTGGGTCAAAACTATTATACTGTATATTGGAACCACTACTAGAATGCTCTGCCTCCATCTTGCAGAGCATTGTGATTATGATGATGTACAGTACATAACAAACATACAACAGAACTAGCTAAAACAGTGATACATAGTAACTTTGAGCCTCTGTTTGCAAACTTTGCTTGTAAAATGCTATGAGGATCGAAGAACATTGTTCATATCAATCCATCAGTGTCTCCATGCAACTCTCCCATCCTAGATATAATGGAGCTGTGGATAGTACTGTTTAACCTTCTAAAATTGAAAGTCATGATTGACGATAAAACACCTTGCAACATCATTGGCACTGCTATGTATTTATATTTTAATCTGGTTACTTTTATTAATAATAAATTAAAAATAAATAAATAGTGTTTATTCCATTGTATATCATTCAATGGAATAAATTTAATATTCCATTGTTTAGGCACAATACTCATATATTCTTGTTTAATGTTGCCATTATCAAAGATTTTAATGCACTATTATAAAATGAAACTGTAAAAGGAAAAATTGTGGCAATGTTATTACACAAGATATTGACTTCTACTTACGGCATGAAGATGGGAGTGACTAGCAATGAATACTCAACTATTGTTATGGATTGCATTTGCAAGTATTTGACTCCCACTACCAAAAAGATGATCTCATGGGGCAATGGCTATGCAAGTCAAAACAGAAACTCCACTTTAGCAACAGCACTTGCAATTTGCTAGAATGAATAATGAGAGCATTGAACACAGAAGTACTTTGTGAAAGGCCATACACAAATGGAAGTAGATTCTGTCCATGCTTGCATTGAGAAGAGATTGAAAATTCAGTCAATATATTGTCCAGCTGACTACATTCCTGTAATAGAAAGTGCATGTCAAAAGCCAAATTCTTTTCATGTTCCTTACATTCAACATGATTTTTTAAGAACTCATGGTTTAGGCTTTGTAACATCCATTCAGGCAAATGAGCAGGTGATCCATGTTTTACCGATGTGTGTACTTTAAGATATGATGTGATCAGTTGATCAAAAAGATTCATTTTCAGATTAGTGGGAAAATCTTGTTTTGTGCAGAGGTTGCAAAAGAGTGTCAAACAATGCTCCTGTGGCTTTACAGAGGCTCACAATCAGTGGAGACAAATTCAAACATCTCCAAGAGCTAAAAGTGATACTGAAAGATTTTCAGTATCACTTTTAGCTCTTGGACAATCTTAATGATTTTTACTTTTAGCCAACATACATATTGATAGTTGATGATTTTTTGACTAATGTGTGATTGTATAAATGGACCAATGACACATTTTATAATGCAGAAGTGACTATTTCTGATTTGATGATTGATTATTTAATGATTCTTAAGCAAAATGAACTACAGTAAGTTCAATAGTATCTTTCGTTTATTAGAATCAAAATATTTAACATTGTATACAGAAATGAACAATCAAACATTAAATATTGTAACTAGGAAGAAATTTAAAATATTAAGATAACATATAAACAGCAATGAACTGAAGTGCTTTTTGACTTGCTTCATTTAATACAGCATTGTGTACAAACATTGTAAGTTCATTATCACAAAAAGAAATTAATAGTAACAAAAAAAATCCAGTAACAAGTTGTGTAACTTTCCCAACTGTTTTAAAATTTTAGTTAACTTTTATAAACTATAATAAAATCTCATAACATGGCATCACACAAAAAATAATTTTATTTCTTATAAAAAAACTTACATTAAGCTTCATGCCATTTTATAATAATAATTTTGAGGGTAGAGCTAAGTTTTACAAAAACTGTAAATGTTAATGACGATTTTACTCAAGTCCAACACCACTCCAGAAATGACACAATCCCCATCTTCCAACACCTTCAACTTTTAACCACCAAAATTTAATAATGCTAATGCCCTTATACAAAAGCTACCATGCCAAATTTTGTTTCTTAATTTAATCATTACCCTATCCTGAGATATTAAAAGAAATAGACAAAAAAAAAAAAAAACATCTCCAAGTTTTAAGACAGATAAATTTGACTTGATTCCAATACTTTCTCTTGCTTTTACTTTCCCAGCTGTTATGAATATGTAACAGCTGGGAAAGTAAAAGTGACTACCACAGTAAGCAAAGATCAGCATTTTAGGCAAATTTCCAAAAATTCATTGCCACAAATGAGGTACAGTACTTCTCTTTACAGAAGGCATCAAAAACTGATTTTAAAGATATTTTAGAGATACAAGGTTTATGAACTAGGCCAATGATATAGTATTGTCAAGTTATGAATTTTAATCTTTAATTTAGGATTTTTGAACTTTAGCAGTTCAAAATTTAAGGCTAATTAAAATTCCCAGAAATAATATAATTTATCATTTTTACATCATTTTATTACTTTTTATAGTATAATTTATACTTAAAAAATAAGGTTATGGTGATACTTTAAAAAATTGTATTAATAAATAGCTCAATATTTGGCACTAATTAGCCAATTTACATATAAAATATCCCATGCAAATAGTATTTTGAGCAACAATACTCAGTTTTGCACCACTGGATACATTGTGCAGATGTCCACTGTAATTAAAATTTAACTTTTCCCTATATCATTTACACACAAATTGGCTTAGAATATAAAAACCAGGTTAAGCATAATTGTAAGAAATTTTTTTAAAAAGCAATCAAAAGCTTTCATTGTGCAAATTCAAAAGTTAGTTCTCATCATTTATGTACTGTACAACAAAAATATACTTAATATCTTTTTCTAAATTTTGTATTTTTAGTACAGTATGATGATGTACTAAAAATAGAAATACAGTAATGAGATGCTCAGGATGCTTTGTCAGCATTTAAATTTCACTTGGACATTGCTATTAATCCTGCCAGATTCTTGCCAATAAAATTATGTCAAATTGAAATTCTCTAAAATAACTTTAGTGATGATGATGTGACTAAACAAAGTTAATCAAACCATGTTTTTAAAAATATGAAAGCAAATGAAATTGGCCAGATGAAGTGTTTTTAATTGTAAAGCAGTTTCTAGACAGACAATATTTTTCATTATTACCAAGCAAAATTAAAGTGTGAATTTTAATCTGTAAAATAGTTTTTTAGTAGAAATATGGTTTTGCAGAAAATAGACATAAATCACATTGTGTTTTGACTTAATTTATTTCACTTTTGCAAATTTAGGAATTAACTACAAAATAACAATTTTGATCATGCAGCATTAAGGAGTCATTCTATCAATATCATACAACTAAATTATCTCAATATAAACTAAAGGTTAAGAGCAAATTTATTTCTAAACTTAAATAGTAAACTAAGACAACATTGTCATTCATAAATATTTATAGCTGTCAGATGGCAAATTATTAGTGGCCATGCATTAAATAACATTAGAATTTTTGGAATGGTTTAAAATTTAATTTTACCAAAACATGAGCCAGGGACACAAGTACTAATTTTCATCTAACAGAAACATCCATAAACCTGACTATTAGATTAAACCCAAATGATTTCCAGATTATATTGGGGTATATTAATGCTATTATTAATAATTAATGTTAAATAATTTGGCCTAGAGGTTGGCATTGGGCACATTCAAATTATTATTAAGTGTTAGACACCATCTCTTGACAATTTATCTCTAGGCCAAATTGCTTAATATACTATTAATAATTAAATGTTAATGTAGACCAATATAGTCCATTGATTATATCGGGTTGCATTGACATTATTGCAACAATGTAAAGACAGACAAACTTGGTTTCAATATTCTGATTTCATTTGAATAGAACATAAAGCCAATCTAAAATTCAATATTTATCCCAAATTTTAAGTACAGTGGGCTGTCAAATTGCATAGGACTGTATTTTAATTAACAAGTACCATAAGTAAATTATATATATATATATATTATCAAAAAATGAACAAAATTTTGTCATTCAAACTGCACACATGAATTTACCCTATTAACACACAAGTGTAAGTGGTGGAACTAATAAATAATTTCAATACATAACATGAACCAAATGAAAAGTTTGGATAAGCCAACATTTTAAAGAAAGGTTTCTTTGAAATAAAGATAACTCTTAAATAAAATAAATAACTCTTGAAAGATTCTGAAACAAAGATGACAAAGAAAATGAAATGCCAACTGGGAAGAATGAACAAGTAACAAAGAACAAATTTGGACAAACAAGATTAAATAGTTTTAAATTTAAATGACAAAGTATTAGCTTATAAATAGAAATGTTTCTAGAAATCATGAATAAACTATGTTAACTGTATGTATAGATCAAGAGAGTATTTGAAGAATGTATGTATGTAGGTGGGTGCTCATTACAACAAATTCTCAGGTTCCATATTGTCTGAATGATATTAATGATAACATTTACAGTATATCATTCAGACAATATGGAACCTGAGAATTTTGTAAAATCAGTATGTAATGTTCAAAATACATTTGAAATTTAAAATTATATGCACAGCATAGTTACACTTCTTAGTCATTAATGATAACATTTACAGTATGACTAAGAAGTGTAACTATGCTGTGCATATAATTTTAAATTTCAAATGTATTTTGAACATTACATACTGATTTTACAAAATTAGTTGATTTAAATGATACCATTTTTTAATTTATATTCTATTTAATAGAATATAATCAAAAAAGCCATTGAGCCAAGATTGTAGGATTCAAAAGTATGCACAGATAAAACATTTATTGAGACTGCTTGTCTGAGCTTCAGATCTCCAGCTGTATTCTGCTCTACAAGCAGGAGTGAGTCTCTGTTATCATCTCTAAACATATTCAAGATAACATTACCTATATTTTTCAATATTCACATGACAGTAGCAACTCTCCCCCACTTTAGAACAGAACAAACAAATGAATAATTATATATAACAATTAGAATAATTTAGTAAGAAAACAAAGTTTAATGTAGTATGATATGAAAAGGAATAATTAGTATAAATTTTAAAATAGAATTAACTGAAAACATAGAAGGAAATTAACAAGTTATAATGGTTGTCTCTCAACTCATAAAAGGTAATAACAAGATTCAAGATGAAATGTTCATAGTAAGAGGATCAAAGGTATTTTTCAACAAACAGATGAGTCAAGGTCAGGCCTTTCTCTAATTTGTCATATTGGAACATGTAGCTGCAGTTAGCTCCTCTGCAATCTGTACTTGTAGGACCTTTGTATTTTTTATCACCAGTATTAATTTATCCTTTTTTGTTTACTGAACATTACATCATCAGAAATATTTAGTTTTCCCACTTTTTTTTTAATATTTCTCATGTGTTCTTTAGAGCCCAGGTGCATTACTAGATCTATTCAGTTAAGTACTTGTTTAAAGCAAAATTGTCAGCAACCCCCCTCATATGGGTTCTTTGAAGTGTGTTTAAGTATTGAAATGCTACACTCAATGTGATAGACACCTATAAAGATAAGAGAGATGATTTTTTTCAGATATGCCTCACAGATGAAACTTAATACAATAAGATTTAAAACAGAGTTGAAATCTGAGTCAGAAAACAATAAAACCAAAATGTATCAATAATTTAAATCTCAAACTCTTATCTCAATAGTGCAGATGATGGTCTGATAAAGCCATGCATTAATTTGTAACGTGATTCTTAAAAAGTTTATAGTCGAATGTATCATTCAAAAAGAAAAAAAATTATCTACGATGTTAGCCAATTCTTTGCTCAATTTCTGTATTAGCATAATCAGCTCATTTCTTCCACTACCAAAGATTTACTTATAATTGTTGCTAAGATTTGCTCAATGTTTTATATAAAATTGGAACAATCTAAACGTTCTCCACGACTCTGGATTTCAGGTAAGAATATGGTCTAAATCTTCAACCGTTTTTATAAAGGTAAGTTATCCAACTCTTCCTTTGCAACTTTGCTGCATCTAATTGATTTAAACGCTCTGCTGAGGATTTATGTCCACAATAGAGATGACAGGTTGGTGAGGATGGGGACTGACATTTTCAGACAGATAGGAAGATTTTTGTTGACAAAATATAATGAATTTGTAGTTTTGTCAATGAAAATAGTTTTAAAAATTAGGGAGTCATGAAAAATTCCTGACCTTGAACTGGAATACTATAGCAGCAGGTTGTTTCATTAACCATTCGGCACCTCAGCATTTATATTAATCATAAATCAATCTGGTCTGTGAAAGGTGCTGCAAAGTATCTACCTCTAGAAACAATGATAAATCTTTTTGTGTTCTGGTAAGTTACATATTAGTTTACTATAGCTGAAGATGAAATATGAAAATTATGATAATTTTTAAATGATAAAACAAGAAACTGACTGCCAAGGGTATTTTATTATGGCATTAAATGAAGTTTGTACAACTTAATGAATATAATGACAAAAACACATACATCCACTGTTGATGACTTTAAATAAATTAAAGTTTTTTTTTAACAGACAAAATTTTGCCTTTTTTGAAATACACATTCTGGAACAAAAATGAAATAGAACATGTTCGAATAATTGGAGCAGACACTCACTTTTTTCTACTTTCTTTGCACACGATAACGTATCTCTGAGCAACGCTCAATGGGGGAGAGTAGCCGTCTGCATAAGAAGAATCCTCGAAAAGCACTTGGTACTCTTCTTGTGCACCCTTTGGAGGTTCGTGAATCACAGCACGATAGAAACAAGTTGTCTGCGGATACAAAGCCATAACTAGAGTCCCTTTGGAGAACAAAGCTTCCGGATCTGTTTCTGGATTGGCCCTCATCAAGGGAAGCGGTACGACTCTACGTCGACTCAAGAAGTGTCTCTCTTTCTGTTCTTCGTCGATGTCGTCCACCTCGTACTTGTTGGTGTTGTGATTGTACTGAATGACTTCAGCTAGAATCCAGTTTTCGTCACCGTCAGGCGCTTTCACAAGCGCAGCGACCATATCTCCAACCTGAAATGGGAAGACGGATTATAAAACGTCGACAGACTAACGACTGACCGAGAAGTAAATACCGACCTTCGCAATATAATTACTTTCCGCTGGAATGGCACCACAGAGTGGTGGTGGTTTTTCATTTCCCTTGCCAATCCAAAGAGGAAGTGTAAGTGCATTTTGCTGCAGCATTTTCATCAAAGCACCCCTGCGAATTGTCTCCTTAGGTCTTTCAACTGCTGAAAATTTTTATAAAATCAAATTTATATTTTCATCTTCATCTCTGACTCAAAGCTTAATTTTCATTATTATTTTAATATGAAAATAAATTGTAAGATAAATTTATGTTTATATTAAAAAAATTATGAACTGTACATTGAAAACTTTTGAAGTAGTATAAAATGTCTTATAAAAATGTTTCAAACACTAAGATGGTTTAATGTAAACTTTCCTATAATTTCCTTTGAAACAAGAATTATAAAATCTGAATAAATTTCAAACTTGCCATTGGCTAAAAATCACATGACGTTCTACGTAGAACATCACGTGATTAGAACAGCAAATACGTGTTTATTTTTCAGTTCGTAATCTTCCAATAAAATCTGATCAGCCAGTGTCTGTTTTAGATCAACTTTTGTCTTTACATAATCCCATATTAATAGTTAAGAATTACATGAGCCTGACTGGACAGATATTACAAATTCTATGGCAATGTTCATAAATTTTTAAGAATCTTAACATCAGATGCTATTCTTTGGATGAGTGGATTCTCAAATGATAAGCCATGGTACACTACTTCACTGCAAGAGATGGTTAGGCATTCACAAATGTTATGAGAGTACATTTTAAAAATAAGACTCATTTGAGTAAAGGTTTATTACAGTCATAATAAATTAACACTCAAGGAGCTTAGTTTAGCCTAGTTAACAGTTATTATTGTACACAGTACTCTAAATTTTCACAGCCATTTTAAATTATAACTATAGGGAAAGGCATATGTATTGATTTGGAATTGAAATCATTGAACATCAGCCAGAAATTATCAATTAATAGTTTTAGATTTCAATCATATTATCCATTCAGTCATATTAATTTGTTTGAAATTTTGACTTTAGTTAGTTGAATAAAAAAATGTGATTTTAAAAGTCCAATTAATCAATAATGAAGTCTTATGATTTTAATTATTTTTCTTATTATTGTTAACTTATAGAATTCAATATTTTAGAACAATCTGTTACTTGTCAAAAATGGCAGAATAAATGAAACCCATCGGTTTTTTTTTAAAGGGTTAACAGTGAGCAAAACTCCATCAAAAATGATCAAAAGAAATTTTTAAAAAAATGATTTTTACTTAAAATTACACAATGTTATAAAAGAAATTTTAAAAGATAATCATCTAATAATTTTCCTTATTGATCCAAATCTGAAATAAAAATTGTCAACCTTGCAGTAATATAATCTTAACTATACCCAATTTTGTTCATCTTTGATTTGTGCATCAAATATACTATTTTGGCAGATAATTAACTTGTGAAAAATATTTTCACCACAGATAATATTATCAATTAATTTTTTCAATGCTGTATTCAAGATATAATTTTTGAGTCTCAAGTCACATTTGAGAAAAACAATTACTTCCAATGCTATGACTCAGTTAAAATTAACTAAAAATTATTGTATTAAAGTTTCTTTTTCCATTTTTGACTCTCCATCCTGTGAATATTAAGGGAGCCTTTTTCCACTTCCATCATGAGTTTGGATCTACACCAGGAGTGACTGGATGCTGAGGGATGGGATCCACATATTTAGGTCAGATCACCCATGAAAAATTCCTGAGATTGCTCACCTAGATTTGATCCTGGATTCCCAGAGTAATAGTTAATTACATCATAGGATCACATCTTAACTGTCTCTGTCATATTAAAATTTACCAGATGAGAAAAAAATAACCATTTTTTGCTTACCATTAAAATTTTTGTAAAAAAATAAATACCAATTTCACTAAGCAACAATGATGAAAATTAAAAAGAATAATTAATTTTTAAGGATTTTTATAAGTTTGAATTTCAATATAGTTACCATAGAAATGCACATTCCAAAAACAAAAGGGATTTATATAAAGCTGGTGATGTACAGTACTTTACAGATACAAAATATTATTTTATCAAATAATCTCAAAACTACAACATAATTTCTACATTTAATAAGTTTGAATTAACTTTAGTTCATTTTAAAATCATCAAGCAGTTAATATATTTATTAAACTTATCTAAGTAATTCATATAATGTGAAAATTCAAATACAGTATAACCTCCAAATAGTGAACACAAACGGGACTGAGAAGTTTGTCTGCTATTGAGAGGTACTGTATGTACAGTACATGCTGGCATATGGTATTTTAACACAGTTATCATAAAGAGAAGATTTGATAGATTACAAAACATCAAATACTAAAAATTATATGTAGAATATATATAATTAAAAAACATATATAGTATACAGTCGACCCTCCTATAACACTGTTGGATTATTCCGTTTTATATGAATTCCATGTTGTACAAGTCACTTAAATTTTACGAATACGTGTGCCGGACTGTGAACGGCTCACGTATTTGTAAAATTTAAGTGACTCGTGCAACATGGAATTCATATAAAACGGAATTATCAACAGTGTTATAGGGAGGTTGACTGTATTATTTATCTTTTCAGCTGTAAAAATTTAATTTTAACTGAATTCTAAATACCAAACAGAGTAGATGAGACACTTTAAATGGGACATATAAATTACATGATGTGTTGATTAATTATTAATTCATTAAAAACAATGTGGGCAGAAGTAACGAAAAAGAAAAATGAAACTGTTGTTATGAACATAAGGGTGGATGAAGGTTGGTTTAGGCAGTAAGTTTGAATGTTGAGTTATGAAGGCAATTTGCTAGCCACTTCAAGAGGTGGAAATGTATTGCATTTATGACATCATTTATGATCTAAGTGACTAAAAAAATCAATATACTGATTTATCTTTTTGTACTTATCAAGTACATGTAATTTTTCAAACATTTTTGCTTTTTTCAGTAACTAATTTACTAAAAATTAATTACACTTTAGCCACCACAAAGCTGTTAAGATCATAAATGACATTATACATGTGAGAAAACCGAATATCTTCCTACACTTTAAATTAAAGTGGTTGGCAAATTGCCTTTGTAACACCACCTTTGAACTTCCACCAAATAGATGCTGTTATAATAGCTGTTCTAACTTTCTTTTTCATTACTACTGTACTATGGTTCTTGTTGAATGACAGATGTCTTGAGAAGAGTATGGTTTCTTGGTACCATTAGTTTAATTCCAACAATAAGACAGAAGTTTAATAACATCAATATGAATGATGGTAAGCAATGATTGACAACTTAACCAGATTAATTTTCTCTAATAGAATATTGTTTGGCTTTTTACAACCTGCCCTCCTCCTCTATTCCTATTTTAAGCCAGTCTTTATTAGACCTCTATGGTCAAAATTCATCTGAAAGAGTATTTGAGCTGATTCTTTGTTTTAGTTTTAAAATATTTCATATGTAATTAATTCTTTCAGAATAATGAAGGTGGGACATTGTGTTTTTGTTGGGTTGGTTATAGACAACAGTGTCCACTATTTAGAGGTAAATATAATAGATGTCCTATACAGATATAATTGTAAAAACTTCCATTAAATAGAGGTATCTGCTATTCGGGAGTGTCTGTTAATGGAGGTTTGAAATATTTGTATGTTATGAAAGTATTAAAATAATGTAAATAAACTTTTGTCATATTTAGTTACCAGAATTTTTTGTTGCAATTCTTCTTTCATTCCGAATAGCTCTAACTTCAGCAATAGTGTCAAGGGCCTTTCTTAGCAGTTCTGCTTCACTGTCAGCATCTTGCATGGCTGTCTTGTACAAGCCCCTCAACTTTGTTTTGTAGTAAGGAGACAATTTCTGCTCATGCTGCATCCGTTCATGAGTTTTTGCAATGTTGGTTAAGTTGTGCTCGCTGCGATTTCTTTCGTCCTGTAGATAAATTTCTTTTTTAAACATATGCCTGTATCCCAAAGATTAAAAAAAATTAAACAACAAACCTGACACTGATGTATAACATGATACAGCTCCTTTAACTTCTCCTGAATTACGGTATTATCTCCATCCTTCTGCATTTTTAAAAATTATTCCAAATAAATTTAGCTGTCTTTATATATACGATTAAAATGGCGAACTGAAATATAATATCCCCCATAAAATGCATAATACCATGATAATAATACTACTGTTGCCAGAATCTGTAAAAATATTTTAAATAATCTTTATAAATATTTAAATTATTGAATTTTGTTCTAGTTTAAAATATAGCACATAAAGTTTCATTAACACAGTAATACAATATTTAATACATTGAAATAAAGCAATCACTTAGCTAATTAAATGTATTACTTCAAATTATTCATATTTAGTTTTAAATTTTATTTTAATATTAGTTTAGTGCTTAATATAAACAAATTAACTGTTCTAAACCTTAATACCTTATAATAAATTTATCAAAGGCAATAAAAATTACAATACATTATAAATTATATTTGGACTAGGTTTGAACCAAGATTTCCAAGACAGTAATAGCTAAAACTTTACTATATACTATACAGTAAACTTTATTTACTATATAGTTATCTGATAAAATTGGGCAGATAGCCAAAATGGTAAAAGCATCAATTACCACTCTGGAGACATGGGTTTGAGTCCAAGTTGGAAACAGAAAATTCTCAAGGATAATCTATCTCAAATAAGTCAGTCCCATCTCTTACCACCCAACTATTCCATTGTAAGCCTAACCAATCCATGATTGGCTTAGATAAAGATCTTCTTAGTGCCCAGAGAGGGGGAGGAAAAAAGCTACATGATAGACTCTTGTAAAAGATATTGAAGTTAAAATTGCCACTTGGCAATAAAAACCTCAGTCCATATTTGGACATTCAGGGTGAAATTGAATCATAAAGTAAGCTTCAGCTAAGTTAAAATTTTGATATGACAGAACCTGTGAAATACTATTTAATTATAAGTATTGTTTTTAACTGTGTTATTTGGAATTATAAATTAAAACATTATTCAAAAAATGATTTCTATTTCTGACTGACAGTTTAATATATTATTACTTTTGCTTTCCAGACTCCAAACTGATAAGAATGCCAGCAACTGCAATAATTAATACAACTGGTTGGCAATAAATACATGTAGTTTGAAGTGGCAAAAAAATTTAAAATTAGCAAGATGGTTAGTAATTTTTTTTAATTTTCCAGAGCAATGTCTGATTTGCATAATTGAAATGTGCAATTGACAACTGAACTTAAAGAATCTACTAATTAAAAAATATACTGATTTCAATAAATAAATTTGCAATTATTTATAACAAGAAGAAGTTTAATATAAGTTGGATAATTAGGTGCTGGTTTCTATCATCATAAGCAATATTTTTCCAAAGAAAACACAATTTATTGGGTTGTTTGGAAAGTAATTTCATTTTTTTACCACTAGAAGGATTAGTCATATTTTTCTCACCATTTTCATTCTAAACCGTATTATCATTATATATTTTGACAGCTAGCATTTTAATGCTTATTTGTAAAAAATTTGTTTGATTTTGTGCAATTGTTTATTTTTTATGTCCCATCAAATATGGAAGATCAAAAGCAGCATTTTCGGCATATTTTGCTCTTTTATTACCGAAAAAGTAAGAATGCTGTTCAAGCGAGAAAAAAATTGTGACATGTATGGAGAAGATGTATTGACAGAACGACAGCGCCAAAACTGGTTTATAAAATTTTGTTTTAGCAATTTAAATACAGTCGACCCCCCTATAACGTACGTTCCTATAACGTAGCGAAAAAATTGTAGCAACTTTCGTATAACGTACCTCCTATAACGTCGTTTCGCGACAAGATTGATAGAGTCTGGACCAATAGTGGATGAGCAGCCGAACTACTTTCCTCCGACCCTGCGCCACGCTACGGAGCGGCTAAATTGAGTTTGCTATCGTCTGTTTAGTATTATATATAAATTATATATAAATTAGGTACTGTACATATAATTATATATTAATTATATATAAATTAGGTACTGTATATATAATTATATATTAACTTAATTTATTGTAACTTTATTATAATTATATATATGCTTTCTGCCGCCTGGCAACACGCTACGGAGATTTTAGGCTAGTAAGTTGAGTTTATTATCGTCTGTACAGTATGTAAATTAGGTACCGTAAGTCTAATACAGCACTAATTTTATACATTTCTTGTGAAAGAAACACTTCTTATTCAACGGCCATAAAAATTATTTATATTAATGATGTCTCCAAAGGTCAAGTTATTTTTTTGCGAAAAATTCGTTATTAGAAATTGCGGCCGTCGTTTCATGTGCTGTTCCGCGATGAAAACCAGCTTTAAGCAACGGCGTAGTCGAACGGTACACACTCGGTAAGTAATCCTATAATTTTTTGTTTATAGCATAGTTTATACGGATTACTCCCAAAAAATTATACGTGTTTTGGAAATGTTGAGTGGAATTAGTCTAGAATCGGTTAATTTTATAGAAGAAAACCTTTCGAACAGCCTTAGTCCGTAAAGTTCCCACCTATCGGGCTGCGATTGGCTCATGTATTTAATCATTCCTACAACGTAATTTTCGGTTAGCGTGGAACGTATCTAAGCGTTATAGGGGGGTCTACTGTATTGAAGATGCACCACGTTCTGGATGGCCAGTTGAAGCCAATGAAAACAAAATAAAGGTACTGATTGAAGCAAACTGCCAAATAACAACACATGAAATCACTAAGAGATTAAATTTGTCAAATTGAACCATTTATGATTACTTGAAACAAATTGGTTTTGTTTCAAAGCTTGATATATTAGTTCCACATGTTCTTAAAGAGAGATGCTCTCTTTGGTGGGATTTTAAGGAAATTTTGTTTTTGGAGCTTTTACCAGACAATTTAACAATTGATTCGAAAGTGTACTGCCATCAAGTAAACAAATTGAGTAATATCATCAAACAGAAAAGGTGGCCAAATTGATCAACAAAACAGGTGTAGTGTTTTACCACAATAATGTCAAATTTCACACAAGTTTGGTAACTGGTCAGAAACTGTTATAACTTTGATGGGACATGCTATCACACCAATTGTATTTGCCAGATTGAGCATACTCAGATTATTACTTGTTCCAGTCTATACAAATTTTTTTAAACTGTAAGACATTTACTTGAAATGACAATGTCAAAAATCACTTGAATCAGTTTTTTGTAAGCAGTGATCAAAACTTTTATGAATATGAAATCATACTACTACCAGAAACGATGACAACAGGTATTTGACCAAAAATGGTTGATATATAATTCAATAAAATATTTATTTATTATAAAAATATTGTTTTTTTTTCACGGAAAAAAACAAAATTACTTTCCAAACAACCCAATATTTGCATTCCTCATATATGGAAATTCATGGAAGATAGAAAAAAAATATTGATCAATTTTGCATATTTACATCAACCACCTTTAAATAAAAATTCTGATCATGAAATTATTAGCTGGATGATATCATTAGCTAGATTGTAAGCAAATCATAAAAGATATCTAAGGATTCTGCATATTACTGAGACATCATTTTATCACAAAATTATGATAAGAAGTCATAAGACTGACAGTTAGCCAAACAAAAGTTATGCTATAAGAATATATGTACTCCTGGATATAATATTAGACACCACTTAAAAGTGAGAACTGATAAAATGCAGATATACAACCAAAGTGGGAATGACTCAAATGCAGTTTAGAAGTGGATTGTCAAAACATTTGAAAGTTTTTTAAAGTTTCAAGGTATTTCCACAAACTTCTTATAAAAAGCAAGTCCAAAAGTTTCTCCACCCATAAGAAAACCAATTTACAAAGATACATTATTAAGTTATGCTTGACATATATTTATAGGAATAGTGTGGTTTGGCTTCTATGCTCTGAAAAAAATCCATTCAAGTGAAGACCTTCTGGGAGTTACCATAGTCTGCAAAAGGTGAAGGAAATGACAGGCATTTCTGAAAAGACTTTTACCAATATTATTTGTAACCACAACAGCAAAACAGGAATAAAAGTCAACAACCACCTGTCTTAAAAAATCAGGATAAAAGACATTTTTATGGAAAGCAAAGGCAACGATGAAACAAAATCAACTCACTACAAGTCCTTATCTCCAGGAATTCCTGGACCTAAATGTACAGTATATTATTGTACTATCTACCAGTTCTACAAGAGGATTTTAGTTATTGCAATAGATTTTAAAAAAACTGCCTCTGGCCTAAGGCATAAACAGGAGCACCCTGACACCATCTCCTTCTGAATACTAATTTAAAAATATTTTTGTGGCTACCAGAGTATGCAGTTAGCATTCCATCTCTGTGAACAACTTTGAGAACTAATCATTGGGTAATGCTTGTTGAAAGAAAATCAATAATCCAGGTCCAGAGAAACTTACAGCAATATACTGAAACTTTCTCTGGACCTGGATGTTGCATGCCATGTTACAGGAAGGAATTTGCCCACTATTCTGAAGTGGGTGGTGTAAGGCTTCTTGGCAGTGTCATCTCCCAATGTCTTTGTATTCAGGTATAGACTCCTTATTTTAGTCAAAGATAGGGTTGCTTGCCATTCTTGTGTTTTGTCAGGATGATACAATAGGATGGAACCATATGAGGGTAGTGGTGGCAGGTATAGAGACTTAAGATGTTTGACAATCAAACTCATGTTTATTGAGATTAGTGATGTGCCAGCTATCCATATTCGTATCCGTATCCGCAGATATCCGAGGAAAAAAAAAGATCCGTATCCGTTACTTTTTAGCAGATCTTTAACGAATCTTTTATCTTAATGAATTTCATTACTTACATGAAATTTTAAAGATAGGTAGCAATAAAATACTAATAACTTCAATTCAAATCGCTTTTTATTTCTTAAAATCACATATTTGGCACATTCATATTGCAAAAATTTTATCATCTTTATCAATTTTATCATATTGCAAAAATCATTTACTATTGTAAAATATTTCTATATTACATGCTAAACTTTTTTGTCGACATTGTTTTTATTTTAATTTAACTCAACACTCTCCAAAAATACAAACATAATCTATGCTATCCCATTTCACACTAAACTATAAACAAAAACACATGCAGTTCAAATCAAAACACGTCGCATTACTAACGCAAAGCGTCAACTATCGGTCCAAGGTCACACA